CCACAATTGCCACCTGACAGTGTTTTTTGTAAAAACAGACAGCTCCACTAACTTACTTGAAAAGTAATTAAAATTAACTGCCTCTACTAATTTACAAAATTATATATTCCCACATATAATGATCGAATCCACTGTCTAGATCTCTCATGGTCATTTTTAGAGCTGTCACACACAACTTTCTGAATTTCTCTTGCTCTGGAGAACACATACAAACACATAAATTTTAATAGTCTGTATAATATGCAAATGATGTCATAACATTCCAATAAAAATACTACACAATACAACAATAATTGTGCAAAGTACTAATATCACACAGACACGAAAGGTTTGAACTGTTATTCTAGAATAAGCTAGCATTTTTGTAAAAAGTATTAAAACAATTGAGCGCAGAACAAAAAGATTTACTTTTAACCAAGTTTTCTGCTAGGTCCAGTGTATCTTGTTAAAAATGCACCCCCTAAGGATCTGGCTTCCAGACAAAAACAGAGAAACAAACAAATGATAAAGAAGAACAAAAAAGCATGGAAATTCAAACAGCAGCTCGTCTCTATTTTGCCTGCAATAGATATCCTACAGTGCTGCAACAGGATGTGTTTTTAAAAAAAACAGACCTGAAATATGTAAGCACAGTATGAAAGCTCATGGAGAGGTTTTTTAAATTTTAAAGGAAACAAATCTTAAGGAAGCACATAGCTGCTGACAGTATATTAACAATTTTTTTCTAGGAGACCTGGCATCTTATTCTAGTACCTATAAAATATACATTTTCAAAATCATTTATATTTATCCAGACTGAAACCTCTCTTTCAGAGTCGGATATTATTATTTATTGTGAGGATAAATACCAGCATTAGCTTTGGTTTCAGAAACAAACACTCTGCACTGCACATAAAAAATAGGAGTTCGGAGTAAAAATGTTATGTATTCTATATTCTCAAAGTTTAACACTGCTTGATCAATTGAAAAATCCCTTTATAGGAAATCAAGCTGAGTCTCTAATTCTGTAAACACATAGGATGGGGTTGGCAAGTTACATATTTTGAGGAGTTGTATCTTATTTTCTCAGTTTTTTTAAATCTAAGGTTTTATTTCCTTACTGGTATTTTGGAAGCTTCATCAGGACATTTACACTTTTTTGATTAAGCGGTAGTTCCTTGAAACTTAAAAAAATAGATGAAGGCTAGAATCCTCTAAGCATTCTCTCTCATGCGATGAGGCCACAGAAATCGTAAGACTGCTCCAGCCTTTGGGTACAGCTAGGGCACTACGACACCAACTAGAAATGAATTCCCTTTATAAAATGCCAATTTGTGAATATTAAAGTGTACCTGTTGCAGTGACATTTTCCCTGTGAAGATTTCTTGGCCCCCAGAAAGAGGTAGAAGGTGAGAAGAAAGAGTTTGCACAACGTTCCCAAGAGAGAGGGTAATGGAGGGTCACAGGAGAGCCAGGCAGGACTCCCTGCTTCACACCTGGGATATGAGGCCTGTCTCCCAAACCAGGTGGGCCAGCTGTGCTGCTGTGAGGATCCTGGGAGAGCTCTGTCACTTCGCATTAATTCAATATTCGCAGGGAGATGGAGGGCAGCGAAAGACACTAATTCTACAGTCTAGTGGTCGAGCACCCAGCTGGGATAGTGGGAGCCTCCATGTCAGAATGTCCCAATATGCAGTGCAGGGGCAAGAGGAAATTACCAAGCTTTACAGGTCAGCAACTTGCAGCTGATCAAATTATAGCAAAACAGGAGGTTAACTTCCGAGCACAGGCTGCCAAGATAATACTCACTGTGAAAACTCAAATAGGGTTTCTAAAGGTAATCTCATTAAACCTCTGGTTCTGTGAAAGACTTAAAAGAAATAACTAAGACACAAGTCTTCACAGAGACATCCCAGTTACTTTGGCAATGGAGTTGATAACATTTTTAATTTTCTATTATTTTTAGATTGTGAAAATTCCCTGTCATTTACCAGTTTAGAACGAATTAGGGAAAGGAGAAGAAATCTCCTTTCCAATGTCTGCCTCTCCTGAAAAGTTGAATAAAAATCCTTCTATATCTAGCTGTTTCTCCACAAGTCAGGCAAGAGGAGGAAGAAAGAAGAAGCCAAAGGCAAGTTGCAAGTGGAAGAGGTTTCTTTACTAGAGAGCCATGTTCCACCTGGAAAAGATAAGCTGCACTACACTGAGATCTGCAGGAGTGCAGCAAAATTCTCAAGCTATCAAGCTGAGAAATAAATAAATAAATAGAGGAAAAAAAAAAACCCGGAAAATCATATCCAGACTGATCTAAACCCAGTTTAATCCAGGTTGGAGGAAGCACTCTAGAATGAGCAATTCCTTGCGAGCTAGGTGGTCTTGAGCTAGTCACATCTGCAGAGCTCTCTGACACCGGCCCCTGAGCGCCCTGTGAGACCTTCCCAGATGGAGAGCAGCTTTCACCACACAGCGGCGACCGCGCCGCGCTCCTCGGGGAGCAGAAAGCCCTGCCCTGCTTGCTGTCCGGCCATGCCCACAGCCATACGAACGGAGTGACTTTATTTCAGAAAGAAAATATGTTCTGCACCACTTGGGAGGGAAAAAAAAAAATCACAGAGCAAAATGTTTTGGCTACACCTTGTATCTGCTCAAGATTTGTGCAGTAGAGAACATGACTATAAGCCAGTTGGGCTTTTGTAAAACATATGGAAAATGGACTAAACTTATCACTTTGCCTTTGACTTACTTCAAAAATAAATCTTCCCTCAAGATAATATGCATATGAAAAACCAAGAAACAACCTGGCTGGGTATATCAAATAATAAGACAGAACAAAATTGGCTACAAAGTTTCAGTAAATCAAACTAGGAAAACAACACGTTACCCATGCAGCAGCTCCTCGGCAAGGATCACGGAGCTCCCAACAAGCCTGTGGCCAACAAGGCGGTGTCACTGCCACGCAGCAGACGGGAACGCAGCGCGGAAAGGTCAAACGTCTGCCTTCGGGCCGCATGTGGAGCGGGGCCACTCTGCCTCTTGCTCTGACAACTCGAAATGCTCTCCTGTTTTTTTTGTCTGTTTGTAAGCATGCTAGCTCTCAGGGTTTAAAACTGCTTTCTTGCTTTCAGAAATTTGTGTAACGTTACACCCCGATCACTGAGCAGAAGGTATTGCAGGGCGCGTGCAGCGTCTCCTTACCGGCCCCGTGGCTTCCTTCTGCACAGTGACTCAGACCAGAACCCAGCGCGGTCAATTACCAGCGCGAAAACTTAATGTCTGAATGACACGCGCCTTCAAAACTTGATAAACTGATAAAAATTCCAGTGGTTTTCATATTAAAAAAAAAACAAATTTGCGTTGTAGGTAATGGTATATTCCAAACTGACTTCTCCTATTTCTTTTGGTATATGTAAAACTGCAAGAAGGAAAAGATATTTTTGTATACACACATACACACACACAATATGGCAAAATTTTCCCCAGATCTAAGTTAAAAAATAATTCTAAATCATGAAAGTATGGAAATGGTGACAGGTCTTTCCATGTGCCTAAGCACCCAATGTGCTGCTGTAGTTTACACTATATATATGTTTTAAATTTGTGACATAAGACACACTTTTCATAATGCAGTCATTCTACAGATTTTATTAGATAGACTTATGGTAGGGAGAAATATTCAGACATTGCAACTTAAATGAGAAAATGTGAATGGTGTTACTTATATAAAATACTACTGCAATAGTTCTTTTATTAATTTTTAATGCACAGCACCCACTGTGACCTCCTTTATTCTTTTCTTGTCAACATGGCAGACTAGAGAAATTGAAATGGGCTATAGCTGTTCTCTTCCGTTTTCCTCCTTTCCTTCCATTTTGTATAACATTAAAAATATAACATCTTATTGGACTGTCACTGTGATATAATCATTATGCAATAGGCATGACTTTTGCTGATCATTATCTCCCTCTTGCTTTTCAGTGTTCTCTAAAAACTTCCAAATTCCATGTAGTTTTCTAAGACAGTAAGGCAATTTTCCACTGAATACTCTTGCGTGAATTAAAGTTGTTTAAAAGATATCTTTTGCTACCTTTCTTATGGTTCTCTAAGAGTAGCACCACTGACATAACATAAAGCATTTTTGCCTGCCTGGTCTCTTCTGATTACTCTGATTTGGGTTGAGGTGGGAGGTGGTTCCGATACCTCAATGTTTGACTTAATCGGGAGGATGCTAACAGGATGCTATACTGTTATGTATATTTTCTGCTACCTCTATCACCAAGGAGACTAATCTCCATTCCAGTGAAGTCAAGCAGCTCACAATATTGTCCTTACAGGGTCAAGTTCAAGTTGTCACAGCAACAGAGTGCAGAGGGTCAGGAGATTAATACATTAGTGTGCAAAGGCACTGAACTGGAGTGTAAAAGTTTTGCTGCTGGTTTTAAAATTAAGCTGTGAAGTGGATTTGGAAATGGGGTCTATGCAAGATATTCTTCTCCATCTCAAAGAATAGTCTACACAAATATACATATATTTGCCTAATAGAATCCATCATTTCCACCACAGTGGGAAGAGGACAAAATAAGCTACTTGGAAGCGGTATATTCAGTCGGGAGGAGACTGAACGGCCGGAGTTCAGGCTATGAAACATATACTGCACTTGGGATGTTGATATTTTCCCCTTGCGCTGCCCTTTCATTAGCCTCTGTCTAACGTGTGCCCTGACAATTGTGACAGAATGAAAAATTCCAGGAAAAGTGAGGGTCACAGAAGAAGAGATTTTCATCCCTCGCTACTGACCCTATCACAGTATTCTGATGCAGCACTTTACCATTAAGGAAAGGGCAACACAAGAGCCTTCACACTTAATCTGCTCCATCTGTCATGACTATTAGAAGCATTGACCAGCCGTGAGCTCTAAGAACTCGGCGCGACTGCAGACATGATATTCTAGCCCACTACAAGGACCTCCCGATGTTTTGTCAGCCTCCAAGGAAGCACTAGGCAGCAAAAAGGGCAACACCTACCTGACACACCACCATATGTGGTCCTCTGAGCTCTCCCGACTGCTGGCCATGGCGTGCTGTCCGCGTCCAGTCCCATCAGGCCCGACACGGTGTTGGTGGCTGTGACACCATCTGCGCCACCTGTGAAAGGAAAGGTCGGATGGTTTTTGTTAAATAATGTGTCTGTGAACAAGAACAAGGTAAAAAAAAAATCAGGAAAACTGTGAAACAACTAGAAATTCAAACAAACAGCTCAAGTCAAAAAGTAACTAACTGCAAGGGGACGTGCAGAAAGGTCTTTGAAGCCAACTGCGCGCTGATGGATCTAACACCAGCTTCGAGGCAGGCTGCCACCTGCTGAAAGTGCCGTGATGAAGCAACGGGAGGCGCGGGGGGCGGGCGCGTGGGGCAGGCACGCGGCTCCCGCCGTGCAGCTCCCGCTGTGCAGCACGGCCGGCTCCGCGGGCTGCTCCACGGGCCAAGACGCTCCGCGCGGGGCCACCTGCTCTGCCAGGCCCTAGCAGGGCACCGCGGGTTTCTCTGAACACACAAACATCCTTTTGCTGCTGAAAGGAGGAACAGGTGAAGATACAGTGGTGCCGTTGGCATATAAGTATGATATAAATAGAAGCGTGCATATATAAAGCTACATGCAACCACGTATGATTTAATGTTAACACTCCAATATACTTCTCTTCATAGATTGTTATATTCTATAATATGACATGGAAAAAAAATCTAGGAAATGTCTGTGATCAATGTGCTCATCCTAAGTGCATTAAGCAAAGTGTTTTCATATTAACTTGTGTTGTCACTTGTCATTATTCCAGTATCCCCTCTCCAAGTCCCCCACATCCTGCAAATGAGTAAAATTGCACAGCCGGTGCCCTGGAGTCTGTTACCTTCCTGTGCAGCCAACGCGATTTTCACAATATCGGTGACATTTGGGGTCAGCTTGGCAAAGAAAGGAATCTGAACAGCTTGTCTAACCCAGCGACAGATGTTCCGCACCAGCTCTGGATCCTGTTCAAATAGGTCAGATAAATATAGAACATAATTAAAAGTAATATGAACAAAAGGTATATCAAGGCAATAGAAAACTTTGTTACAAGTGGCTATGCTGTGATTTTGTGAAATTACATGTCAGCACTGAACCTCATCTCATTAGTTAACTTATTTCAGACACATCAAGAAACCACAAATCCATTACAGAAAGGTTAGTTCATGAAAAAAAGGAAGATTTACTTTTTCAAAAGACAAAGATATCACAAAACGTTCATTTCCCAGAGGGCAAAAATACCGCTTTGGATGACAGTTTATTTACCTCTCTATTTTAAAGAGTATTTTTCAGTTTTAATGACTCACTCTATATAAGGTACATTGTAAATATTCCCTGGGATATAAAATAATGCAGTCCTGAAATATTGGCTGATTATACCTTGATCAAAACAACCAGGATGAGCCGAGGATGCAGGGCTATCAGAATGCAACTCAGCAGTTCTGAGCTCTCCTCTGTTTTCACAAAATGAAAGATCAAAAACTTTTCTTTTAAATCTGGAAATAGAAATCCTCAAGTGGTGACTTTTCATATTTCCAGGCATTTACTTCCCATATGGAATACATATAACGTAGAGAGTAATCAACTATCTTTTCCATTGAAAACATCTCAGTAGACCCCCCACTCTGATTCTGGCACCTTTAGTCGTTACTCCACAATACAACTTTTCTAAGCCATCAGTTGTTCTTTTCTTTCTGTTGGCTAATGCTCTACAACAAATATCTTAACATTTGGAATACCGCTGCACGTAAAACATAACAACATGATCTGGTTCAGACATAAATGGTGCTATTAAAAAATAGTACAAGTAAAACCTGCGGGTAGGTTATTTGGTACTGTAGCAATTATTTGCATTTACTAACTCTTTATCGTTCTCACAGATAGCTAAGTCTGTCATATATGAGGATTTTTCTCCCATTTGGATAATGTACAAAGACTGAAAGCTGCACTGCTATGCAGTAACTTTGAAAACAGGCTGAGCCTTGATGAAGTACAAAGCAATCCAGTGCACCTGAAGGTTCGCAGTTTAGTGAACTAACAGAAAATATTTCATTGCTGTTTTTGTCAGCTTACACCAAAAATTGCATACAAACATAAAAAATACAGGTTCTGTTCCTGGAAGGTACACTGTGCTTTACATGAATAGCAAAATCCAGAGGCTTAGCTCTGCCATTGCAATAAAAACGGGGATCTCCTTGCCGATGCAGCACCCATGCAATATGCATGAAAGCTGCACGGGCAGCATGTGAGTAGTTACATCTTTGACTTTCATTTCTGTTTTGAATTTCCTTGAGGCCCAGCGCAGAAATGAGAGAACCTCCAGAAGATATGAATTGTATATCCTTTATGTTAATTTTTCTCCTTAGATATCCTCATAGTAACGTGCATGATGCTGGCACTCCATAACTCATGCTGCTGGCTTCATAGCTGCTTACAGTGCTGCCATAAACATTTCCAGCCCTGTTTAAAAAACACCATTCTTCTGATCCATATGATCACTGGGAGATCTCTTGCACTAACATTAACCCAGTTTTCATCCTATCTTACACAATATAATGAGTTTGTCTTCCTTACTAAATAATTCTCTTTTTTTCCCCCCAAAAAGATAATAAGTTAAGCTTTTTGTTTTGCATCAGTTGAACTACTCCAATGCCAAAATTAATGCAGCAAATGCAATGGAAGATCTTCAATTTCTCCAGCTAGGAAACAGTTCAAATGATTGATTGTGCTATTTGTACAGGCAATTCCTTCTGAAAAGCCCATTTGTTGGATCAGTCTTGGAAAACTGCCCATTTTTAGTTCCCATAAAACCACAGGTATCTTAAATGGAAAATAATTTGAAAGGCCAAATGAAGGAAGTGAAATCTTTGTTTTTTTTCCTTCACTTAAGATTCCAAGGGGCAAAAACAGCAATCTTTGTAGTAAGGAAATGGTTTCTGCTTTTTTAAGAAAAACAAACAAACAAACAAACAAAAAAACAGAAGAAAAAGTTAAGAGTACCTTGCTTCATAGTGGAAGAGTCACTGATGGGATTTGGAACAATGCTGAATTTTGCATTAAAAAAAAAATCCCTGAAATCTGTCAATTTTGGATGGAAACAGGCATTTCAATTTTTTTTTCCTTTATCACTTACGTAATTCATTTGTTCATTCAGTAAATATCATATATGGATAATGCTGAGTATCTTCATGAAAAGCTACTGTGAAATCAAACATTTTCTTCTGTGCCAGCCCCAAACCACACGTACACGTGAGAGCTCTTGCAGTTTCCCTTTTAAAGGCAGAAGTCCTCCAGCAGAGCCCATTGGAGTATCCTCTTGATCCCGAGTTTCAGCCAGACCAAACTTCGCCTTTTTCCGGTCCAGCCTCCCTGGCACCTCTTCCTCCCTTTTCCCTTTTTTCTGCAGCATGGACACTGCTCCCTCCTCCTTCCTCAGCCCTCCTTCCAAGTCCCTTCCTACTCCAATCCAACCGCTGAACACTGCAACGTCCAGCGACAACAGCCAAAACATGCCCGAGCTTCCCCACTGCCCACACGATGTCTATGCAATAAGGCCATGGCAGGAAAATCCCCGTTTTTATGCTCTGTTGACAGCTAACATGTCATTTAAGAACTTCTCTTTCACACTTCTTAGACTTTGCTAATATTGCTACCTATCTCAATCTGCAATGTCACATTTTCTTCTCTAGATCAGGAAGAAAAAGTAATTCATGTAAGAAATTCATAATTTCCTATTATATTTGTACTGAGGACTTGGGAAAACACACTGAACACTGTTGAAAACAATTAGAAAATACTCATGTGATTTCATCACTATATTTTCATAAGAAATGCATGAGCTATATAATCCACAGGAAATTCCCTGGGATTATACAACCTCTCCATGAAAGTTTACCTCTGGACTGAGAACAATCTGCAGAGCTCATACAAGAAAAACTTGTATCCAAACACTGGATTTAAATCAATTCGATGTAGACTGTATTTTGGCACAGGCTGAAGCATTCTGCAGATTCAGGACCTCCTCTCTGTTCAGATTTCTGGAAGATTCATGCTGATTTACAAACTTCATTTACTGGTTCGTAGTAGAGATTGGATTTATAAAACATTCAAAGGTTGAGAATATAGCTTGTAAGGAAACACATCTTGAGGCACACAAATTTCATTACAAAAATCTCTGCTAAAAATACCTGTGTCACTGCTAATATAACAAAAATATCTTTTTCATCCTGGTCCAACTTTATGAAAAGTGCCTGCAGCTTTTATCATTTATAAGTGGTTGATGAAGCCTGTATAGTGAAAAAATATTTTTGAAATGGCCTGATACGTAAAAAGTTATTAGCAGTAAAAACAGATGGGCATTTACATTTGCAAAATCCACAATATGAATTAACTAAAATATACTCTGCTTAATCGAGTAAAGGATTTTAATGGTTTTGATTCAAAGCATGCCATGTTACTATACATTATAACCTTCTTCTGTTACATATATCTAGGTTTGTAGGTCCTCTCATTAACAATAATTCAATGCAATTATTGCAGAATTTGTACTATCATTTTACTGTGTTTGTCAATCCAAAAAAATAAATGCTTGCTTCAATGGACTTCTATCTCCATTGGTAGCGTGTTATTTTTCTGCTGTTCTTTTAACAATGCCATCTAAACAAAGCCTTGGTGAAATTAGCATGAGCTAAAACATAATATTGATCTATGGGAATTTGTTAGTGATTTAATACAATGCAGCATCTCTTTTGGTGTGAGAGGTACATCAGTTTGTCTTCTATCTTCCTGTTCTTAATCAAATATTGCTTTCTTACTCCAAAGGCACAGGAGATTTTAATGTTACAGAGGTTGTCTTTTTACTTCCCTAAGCAGCGGTACAGAATCATTTCTCCTGAATATTCATTATAGCCTCAGGCTAGATGGAGCTTTTAATCCTAACTACTCATTGCCAGTGGGTAGATATACTAGAGGAAAAACAACTATTCACCTTTTTTTTTTTTCTGGTGAATGATCACATGATAAGCTTAACTACCATCACAACTGTAAGTCCTCAGAAATTAAAGCAGCAAGTCGCCTCCTGATTCCAGTTGGCATTGGTAACGAGCTGAAACCACCGTCCTTATCACCCCCAAGGCAGATACAACTTGCACATTTCAAACGCGGGGTGAAAATGCCATGCAGACATGAGGTCACCCCTCCTTCTGTTACATGGGAAAGAATAAAATCATGAAGAGATTTCCACAGGAATGTTCAGCAGTAGAACTGGGAAACTACTTTTACTACTACCTTTCAGTGGTCTTACAGGATCCTCATTTTTACACATCTTATTACAGCACAATCCTTAGGTTAGATCCAAAACACTCCTCTGAGGCATGAGGTGCTTTTGTATCTATTTAGCAAATGGAAAGAAGAGAGGCAGAATGCTGAAGCACAACTCCTTCCAGTGACCAGAGTTTACCGAGTTATCTGCATGAAGATCTGAAGAGGCTCTTCTGGCACGAACCTGAGCTTGGCTCCTCAGAACGCCTTAAACCAGGAGATACTTCCTGCATTAACCTTATCAGCTCTTTAGGGAATAACAGAACAGGTGAAAATACATCTGCGTTAGGGTAAGGAAGACACTTTCCCTAACACCACAAACAATCCCTGGATGTCCAGACCAATATATGTATTTATGCATGTGTGCATATATGTGGAATGTATCAGATACCAGAAAAATACTTGTTACGGAATTTCCCTTGAGAACTTCTGAAGTAAATTTACCACTCACTATAGCACATTAGCTGCTTTCGCCTAATTATAGTTACAGAAAATGGACCATACCGTACAATCTTCCCTCCATCCCTAACTACTATAATGGCAGCAGTTCTGCCTAACCAGGAATAACGTAAGGACCTTTATAGTTAAGAATAAAACATAAATCTTCTCATTCATAACCCAAATTTTACATATGTATTAAGTCTTT